TTCATATGCCTGTTGGTCATCTGTATATCTTCTTTGGAGAAATTTCTTTAAGTCCTTAGCCCACTTTTAAGTTGGGTTTTGAGTTTTTACTATTGAGTTGTAGGAGTTCCTTGTATATTTTGCAGATTAATCTCTTATGAGATATATGGCTTGTAAATATATCAACCATTTTAAAGCCTATCTATTTGTTCATGGTATAGACATACTTTAATTTATTTAACCACTATTTCACTGATGAACACCATGCTTATTTTCATTTCTTTCCCACTCCTATTATTAATCATGCTTTGAAGGACATTTTTGTTCCTATATTTTTGTATGTTTGATTCTTTATCTCCTTGGGATCTACTTGGGATCTATTGAAGGAAGGATGTCTGGGTTAAAAAGAAGGCATTTAGGCCGGGCATGGTGGCTCACACTTGTAATCCCAGCACTTTGGGAGGCCGAGGTGAGCAGATTGCCTGAGGGCAGGAGTTCGAGATCAGCCTGACCAACATAGAGAAACCTCGTCTCTACTAAAAATACAAAAGCTACCTGGGCATGGTGTCGGATGCCTGTAATCCCAGCTACTTGGGAGGCTGAGACAAGAGAATTGCTTGAACCAGGGAGGTGGAGGTTGCAGTGAGCTGAGATAGTGCGCAGCACTCCAGCCTTGGTGACAGAACACGATTCTGTCTCAAAAAAAAAAAAAAAAAGGCATTTAATATTGATGCGTATCATCATACTGACCTCCAAAAAGATTGTATCAATTGACACTCTTATTAACAATTTATGAGTTTCCACATAGCACTGATCTTTAAGATCTTTATCAATTGGCTACATGGAAAGTAGTAAATTATTGTTTGCATTTGAGTTTTGGATTAATAATGAATGTATTCATTTGATTAGGAGCCCGAGCTGTGCAGTGTGACCATTTGAGTTTATATTCTGGCTTTATCAGTTACCAGCTTTTCGACCTTGTGCTAATTATTTAATCTCTCTATGTCTCTTATTAGTCATCTGCAAAGTGATAATAATATTGACCTCATAGAATTGGTACAATTAATTTAATTAATATGCATAAAGCTCTTACAACATTTCCTGGTAAACTCATTCTCAGTAAATGTTAGCTATTGGTATATTTTAATGTTATTTAATATTTTATTTTTCTTTCTTCATTTGTAGATTCAAGTTCCTTGATCTACTCTGTTGTGATGTTCCATCATTTATTTAATGATTTGATAGTGAGCTTTTTAAAAATACAGATATTAACTACTTCTCTGTCCTGCATGCTACAAGTATTTTGGCTTTTCTTGTTGGGCATTTCTTTGTACTATATAAAGTTTTACCATTTGAGTAAAAATATACTCATCTTTTAGTATTTCTGGCTGTAAAAAAGGCTTTCGTATCCTAAAGATTATTTTAAAATTCACCTATGTTGTCTTCAAGAGAGATAATGATTTTATTTCTCACATTTAAGTCTTTGACTCATCGGGATTGGATTTGATAGCAGTCATGAAGGATCCACAAAAGCTTTACTATTTGACGATGACAAAGTGATCAGTTTGAGTACTACAAGGACGTACAAAATTAAAAGTAGAACTTCCAACTTCCCTTTGACAGACAAAATCTAAATTTAACTTTTGGAAATTTTTACATGATGTGAGGTAGGATTTTAGTTTTCTTCCATTTCCCACTCATTTTCTTTTCTGTTTCTCTTCTTTCTGTAAAACATCTGCTCTTGGGGCTTCTATGAAAGCTTAACAGATTTTCTTCTCAGGAGCCAAGTTATTCCCATTGTATCAGGATTTCATATCTAGACAATTGATTTTAAATGTTGCCTTTTCACAAGATTAAAATATTTCCACATAACAATTCATACTGTGAGCACTATTTAGGCTAACACCACTAAAATAATTACTGATCAAGACGAATGGATTTTACTGCTGCCTCAAGATCCCTTTGGAATTTTGACTTCTGCTGTGCGTTGGCCAGAGTGAATAATTATATTATTTAATCAACATACTTGGTCATGTTTATCAAACATAAAAAATCCATATCAATAAACATGGTATGACCTATTTTGCTATTAATGTAACACAGATAGTACAATTGTATGTGCACGTACTGAATGTTTCTTGTGTAGTACTGCAGATCCATTTGGCCACACCTTTCATTTCGGCCATTGCTGCAGGGAACAGGTATGAACAGATTTTTCTTTTTTTTTTTTTTTGGTATATAAATATGTATTCAGAGTAACATTTACATATTGGCCATAATAGCAAGCATACCATTAACAAAAAGAAAAAATAATGAAAAAACTTCACCTGTTCACGTCAGAATCTCAAGGCAAGGAGGCATACCTAGGCAAGAGGACCAAGTCACCTCCCAACCTCTAACCTGTGAGGCCGCAACCTCCATGGAAGCAGGAATCGCTCCAGCAGCCCTTCCCCATCCCTGGTGCCCAGCACTGAGGCTGCATCAAGATCAATGGAGGGCTCATCAAAACACAGCTGAGCCCCAACCAAGTTTCTGATTCAGAAATCCTGGGGTAGGGCCCAAGAATATTTCTAGCAGATTCCTAAGGTGATGCTGCTGGTCTCAGGGACACACTTGGAGAATCACTGGCCTGTGTGTTTGGAGCTGTCTCAGTAAAGATACCCACTGTCCTCCTGAGTCCTCTCCCTGCCTATGGAGGAGGAAAACCTGTCCTAACCCTTCTGCCCTGGCTCATCTGAACTTTGCAAGTGAGCTTGAATGATTATAAATTGGTTGCCCCAATTTACCTACTGTCTTTGAGCAGGCAGAGTAAAAAAAAAAAAAATGGTGTAATACTCACTCTGGATCCAAAAACATGCATGAAGAAAAGTAAATGGCAGTGCACAGCCTGGTGCCATCCATAATCTCCGTTCTGAAGTTTTTAATACTGTTTCAAAAACCCTGGAGGTTCAAACTGGGAACTCACTTTTCAGTCAACTGACAACCCATTCAGAATCTTCCTGAATCCCTGGTGGCTTCCACAACAAAGAACACAAAGTCCCCTGCCGAGGAGATCTTAGGCCCCGCAGCAGCCGCCCCTCCTGTAGAGTTCTACTGGGGAGGGGAAGGCCCAGCTGACGGCGCCTTCCAGCTGAGGCCCTGCAGGGCTCAGCGTGCTCATCCCAATGTAGTGTACAGGGCTTTGCCACCTTCCGGAGTCAGAGCTCCACTGTGGTGGCCTACAGTGCCCAAAACGTCAATCCTTCAGCAGGCGTGACAAATTTTAATCATTGACCAGCGAATTGGGAAGCAGCGTGGTATCCTGCAAAGAACACTGGAGGTCGGGACCTAGGATTTTCATTCCAGTTCTGTCCTGCCCCTACCTGGCTGTGTCATAATCTCTGTTCCTGGGCTCTGATCTACCTATCTGTGAAAGGGAGGGCAGTGGTACTAGTGATCTCCAGGGTCCTTCCCAATTCTGACAATCTTTAATTATATAAAAATGCTATAAAATCCGTGGTATAAAATCCAACTTCCAAACAGGAAGAGTCAAGGGGACTGGGCCTGAGGCACTTGAACCTTGGGGCTCTGGCCTGCGGGTCAGGGAGGAGGGGCCTACTCTGCCCTCTGCTTTCCCACCCCGAGGCAGGGGCTGGCCCCCACTGCCAGGAACTCTTCCTCCATACCCAACCCTCAAGTCCCACCCACTGGCCTCTCCACTCCGACTTTAGGACCCAGGGAACTATCCCTGCAGAAGCCTGGCTTTGTGAAGAGCAGACATCAGGGCCCAGATTCTCCCAGGGAGTAACATCAGCACAGCTAGCTGGGGTCCTCCCGTCCCGGCCTCTGCCCTCGCTACTCCTTCCTCCTTCAGGTCCTCCCTTCACCACCTCACAGCTTATCTCTGATACACGCATAATAAATAAGACATTTGCACATAAGGGTGACTGGGTCAGCTCTGTCCCTGCCCCTCCCCTTTTCATATAAAAGCATTACAGTTTCAAAATAAAATACAAAGAGCAAAAAAGGGCCTGATCTCGGGGCCACCGGTTCTCCACAGGAGAATGAATCTACACATCCCTCTCGGACCTGCCTGGGAGATCGCGGGGCCCCTTCCCTGCCCCATAGGGCCTGGCGCTGCTGCAGGAAAATGAAGCCGAGGCCCGGCCCCAGGCCTTGCGGGCTGAGAACTGGCGCCGCATCCACCGCGTACAAAAGGGGATGGGGACGGGGCGGGAAGAGAAGGCTGACTGCCGGGACCTCCTGTGCCCCGGGCTCCCTCGGACCTGGTGGCGCCCGACTCTGAGTTTAGGGATAAACAGGGCCCTCGGGGCAAGAGGAGCAAAGGAAAAAAGTGCTAATCCCTTTACAAGATCTGCCTGGGCGGGCGCGGCAGCGACCCGGGAGGAAGGTGGGGCCGCGAGGTTCCTACTGAGCTTGCTCCGGAGGTTGGCGCAGCTGGTCCGGCCCAGGCCCCGGGCGCATCGCCCCGCCCTCGGTCCAACAGACCCTCCCAGCCTGGGAAGGCTCTCGAGCCCCGCGGCCCCGCCTCCGGCTGGAAGCCCCAGTCTGCAGCCAGGGCCCCCGTGAAGCCGAGAATCCCAACTAGGGAAGGGCAGCCAGCAGCCCCCGAGCCGGGAACCGTGCCTGCCGGCGTGCAAGGCTGCAGAGAACTGGGCCCCCTGCCAGGACCAGGGCCAGAGCCGGAACATCCTTCCTGCCCTCCGCGAGGTCCCCCTCCGGCCCTAATACTGACTGATGGCGCCCTCAGTCCCGGCCTGCGGAGGATTGCCTCGCGGGGTGCGGCCGAAGCGCTTGGCGCTAACACTTGGAGGCCGCTTTGGATTCGCGGAAAACGTGGGCCCTGCACGGGGAAGGCAGGGCTCGAGGCCGAGGGGAAAGTGCACTTCCCGCAGCGCACCGACTGGCTCGGGAACCCAAGTGGCACCGCGCGGACGCCAGCGGCCCCACTAGATGCCCCATCTCCGCCCGGCCCGGCCAGCGGGGGGCGCGGCCGCAGGGAGCGCTGGCACCCAGCGCGAGGGTCTCCCAGCAAGGGGGGCCAGGAGAGCCAGGGCAGGGCGGAGCGGGGCCGACCCGACCCGGAGACCCACGAGGCCGCTACGCCCGACACACGGCGCCAGACTTGAGGTCCGCGCCGCCGTCACGCGGCGCCGGGGCGGGCGGCGCGAAGCCCTTGTGGCCGTAGCAGCGCAGCGCCGCCTCCTCGTAGGCCTCCAGGATGGTCTGGCGCTCCTCGGGCGTGAAGTCCATGGAGAAGGGGTGCACCTGCAGGATGTGGCGCTTGATGGTGCTCATCTTGAGAGTGGCCAACGCGCCCCCGCACACCATGCACATCAGGCCGCGCCGGCTGCCGTCGTAGTCCATCAGGTACTCGCCCCGCCAGCGCGGCTGGCAGTTCCGCCGCTGCTCCCGGCTGCGGGGCGGTGGGGGAGGCGGCGGCGGCAAGGCGAGTTCCCCGGGCTCCTGGCCGTCCTCTTCGTCCTCCTCTTCCTCAGCGGGCCGCTCCAGCGGAGCCCCAGGGGACGGCGGGACGTCACCCCACGCCTCCTCCTCTGGCTCCTCCTCCTCGTCCCCTCCCCCCTCCTCGGAGGCTGCGGCCGTGCGGGGGGCGGCGGGGCCAGGGGGAGACTCGGGGCGGGGTAGCCCCAGGGCCAGCAGGTGGGCGGCCTTCTCGCTCCACTCCCGGGCGATGAGGGCCTGGAGGGGCCCGCCGAGGCGCGTGGAGCCCGGGTGGCGCCGGCGGATGTGGCGCTCGATGGTGCTCATCTTGAGCGAGGCCAACGAGCCTCCGCACACCAGGCCGCGCCGGCCGCCGTCCAGCTCCATGAGGTACTCCAGCCGCCAGCGCTCCTGGGGGTGGCGGCGGTGGGTGCGGCCTCGCAGCAACCGGCCCGGGACCCCCGCCCTCTCGCCCTCGACCTCCTCCAGCTCCTCCGCCTCTGCGGGCCCGGGCCTCTCATGGACCCAGCCAGCCTCTTCCTTTACGTCTGGGGGGCTGAGATCCTGAGAGGAGGGGGCTCCAGCAGCGGAGGCCGAGTCTCGGCTCTTTCTGTTCAGGTCCTGGGGGGCGAGGTCATCGCCTGGTGGGGATTGGGTGAGGTCAGACAGCGCCTCGGGCTGGCCCCCCCAGGCCTGCAGCAGGGCACTGCGCTGGGGGCCGCTGAGCCCCAGGGAGCCGGGGTGCACCTCCAGCACGTGGGCACGGATGTCGTCCAGGTGCAGGCTGGGCAGTGCCCGGCCACAGGCCATGCACACCAGCCGGTTCCCCCGCGGGTCGTAGTCCATGAGACACTCGGCCCGGAACCAGTTCTGCAGGGACTCCTTCAGCCTCCTCTCCAGGCGCCGGGCCCCCAGCCCCCTGTTGCCCCCGGCCCTCCGGGAGGCTGAGAGGCGCAGACGCCGAGCCCGGGGTGCCACTGGCCCCCCCTCGCCGCTGGCGCCGGCAGCCCCCACCAGCTGGGGCTTTGCCTGGGCCCTTGGGCGGGCAAGCTGGGACACCGGCCCCCTCCTCCTCCTCTTCTTCCTCCTCCTCCTCCTCCTCCTCCTCAGCCCCCTGGACCCCCAGGCCCTCGGCCTCTCCGCAGGCCCCCAGCCCCAGGTGCGCATCCCAGCTGTTGCTGATGACTTCCTTCTCCCGGGGACTCCAGTGCAAGGAGTAGGGGTGCTTCTGGCGGATGTGGCGCTTGATGGTGCTGAGCTTGAGCGTGGCCAGGGAGCTGCAGCACACCATGCCGTGCCGGGCAGGGTTGAAGTCCATCAGGTACTCCAGCCGCCAGTGGTCGTGGTAGTAGCCCAGGTGGTCACGGCCAGAGATGCGGCTCTTGCCAGGCCTCGAGGCCCGGGCCTCACAGTGGTCTGAATACTTCCTGCCTGAAGATGCTGGTCCCCTGGCCCTGGAGGAGGGCAGGGGGGCACTCCCCCAGGACCCCAAGGCACCCCCTTCCAGCTGAAGATCTTGCCCGCCTTCGTCCTCCTCTGGCTCCGCGCCGCCGCTCGATCCGGCGGGCGGCAGCCGTCGGCCCCGTGCCGAGGCCACTGCTGGCCCGGGGCAGCCCCTTCCGCCGCTGCTCCGGCTCCGGTGGTCCCCGCCGGGCTCCATGCGCTGCGCTGAGGAGCGGGGCCCCGGGGCGGCGGGGTGCGGGGCTGCGGGGCCGGCGGCAGCCTGCGCGGAGCGCTCGGTGCACGGGGCCCCGGGGCGCGGGGCGCATGCTCGGGGCGGCCGGCCGCACGGACTGCAGGCTGCTCGCTCGGCGGCGCGGGCTGGACCGGGTTGGGGATTCCTGTCTGGGGCCCCTGGGGCTCCTTTAAGGGCTCCTGGGTAAATTTAAAGGGGCCGCGCGCTATTTCCTCCTGGCAGCTCGCGGGGGGCTGAGGGGAAAGGCGGGAGGCCACTAGCCCAGCCGAGGCTCAGCAGCCGGCGCCCGCTCCGGACGCTAGGAGCACGGACCTCGCCGCCCCCGCGGGCCCGCACCGCCGCCTCCGGGGCTCCGGTCCCGGCTCCCGAAGGGTCACCGAGGTGGCGAGGGGCGCCCGCGTCCGCTGCGACGCGCTTCCACCCGGGCTCGGCTCGCGGCCACTGCCCCCTCGGGGCATCTCAGCGCCGGGACAGCCCGCGGGGGAGGCCGGGGTCCTTGCCCGGGGCTGCCTCCTGTCGCGAGCTCGGTGCGGCCCCGGAGCGGTCACCTTTTCTTTTTTTTTGAGACAGAGTCTCCCTTTGTTGTCCAGGCTGGAGTGCAGCAGTGTGATCTCAGCTCACTGCAACCTCTGCCTCCTGAGTTCAAGCAATTCTCCTGCCTCAGTTTCCTAAGCAGCTGAGATTACAGGCATACACCACCATGCCCAGCTAATGTTTGTATTTTTAGTAGAGATGGGGTTTCACCATGTTGGCCAGGCTGGTCTCGAACTCTGCATCTCAGTTTATCTGCCCGCCTCTACCTCCCAAAGTGCTGGACTCATAGGCATGAGACATTGTGCCCGGCCCATGCACAGATTTTGATCTGTTTTGTGTAGGTACAACTGGAAGTGCTTGCCTCAGTCCATATAAAGCTTCTCTGACACCAGCAGCCTTGGATTCTTGGACAGCCTGCATGTATGGGAGAGTTTATGACCCATAGGGCAGACCTTGACAAATATGGCATAAAAATGAACAGGAAATGCTCCACCCTTGCACCCTTCCAGGGAGGAATTTGGAGATACAGTACAGTCCATAAGTTTTCTCAGAAGGTCCTGTGGATCCAGAAACCAGCTGCATCCAGGAGTGTCCAGTTCCAGACTGCATCGTTGTGTTGGCTGCCCCTCCTTCTGTATCCATTCATGTATCTCCTGCCCCTTCCTGTCCCCACTCCTGCTTCTATGATTATAGCTTTAGTAAACCATGGATGCATCAGTCTTTGTCTTGGGCTGTTATTTTGGTGTTTCTTAGACTTAAAAGTTTCATTAGAATAAGTGTTAAAAATTATTTCTGATCATTTGTATATTGTGGTTTCCATGAAGTTTTTATTTTAGCTTAAACCACGGAAAATTTACTAGAGAAAAGACCTTTGTGATTTAAAAAAAATCTACTGAAAACGACTCTAAGCCATTCATTTTTAGTTATTTTGTTTTAAAAATTGACTTCGGATCTTCCATTTCTTCCCTTAACAGCATTAAGTATTTCTTCAACTTAGAAAAAAAAAAAAATCCCATTAACTCAGCAAAAAGGTACAGAGAATTGACTTGTATGTCAATTGTTTCACTTTAATTTGAGATAACATAAAGTATTATTTACTTAGACTGTCATTTAACATGCAAAGTTGATTTAATCATTGATATCTAATTGCTGTTACTCTTACGGAAGTAAAATACAAAGAATCAAATCCTGTGTTGTATTCACATACTCAGAATAAACCATGGCTTTGGTGTAAATTCATTACGATAAATATTTTAAAATAAGTAATGTAGGAAGGAAATTGCATTCCAGTTCATAAACCAACAATTTATGTAATAGTGAATTGCAAACTTTGAAGCACTGTATTCACCTACAATTTCATTTGCTATGTGAGATTTTCGATATGCTTCTGAATTAGAAATCCTGTATGCGTTATGAATAAAGAATAGCTTCCCTAATCTTTGGCCACTAGATGTCAGCGCAGCTCCATATAAGAAGCCTGGGATGGGGAAGGGGTTGACTACCGAATAGTTCGTTTTCAGATTTCAGTTGCTCTGTTGCACATAAGGCTATCATTCTGTAGCTTATAGAACCAGCCATTTTACAGAATTCAGGACTACCTCCAGCCAGTGTAAAAACCCAACTAATTTTGCGTCTTTTTATGTGGTGATATATGTGTTAATAAAGAAAATGGTTCAAAACAATTTTTTAAAATTTATTTTATTGCATTTTAGGTTTCGGGGTACATGTGAAGAACATGCAAGATTGTTGCATAGGTACACACGTGGCAGTGTGATTTGCTGCCTTCCTCCCCATCCCTATATCTGGCATTTCTCCCCATGCTCTCTCTCCCCAACTCCCCACCCCCTGCTGTCCCTCCCATATTTCCCTCCAACAGACCCCAGTCTGTAGTGCTCCCCTCCCTGTGTCCATGTGTTCTCATTGTTCAACACCCACCTATGAGTGAGAATATGCGGTATTTGATTTTCTGCTCTTGACAAATTCTGCTTTTAGGCAATGTTTTCATTGCCTTGACTCTAATTGCTTTGCAACAAATAAAACCAACCAACCAAACAACTCAGGCAGCACTGAGAATGAAAGCAAAAGGAAGGTTCTAAAACCAGCAAATTGCCATACGACATACCAACTAATGAAAAAAGATAATTTATAGCATTTAAGTAGATGAAAGAAATAATGATCTGCTTATTAGACGATGAAGCTATTTTCCTTATCTTATATTGAAAAAAATATAGTTAATAACTGGGCATAGCTCTTTGGCAATCCATACATGAGCATAAATGCAAGATAGATAGGGTAAGGTGGTGGTTAAGAGCATAGGCTTTGGGGTCCCAAAGCCTAATGTTTCAGATATGGATTTTCCCTTACTTGTTATATAATGTTTTATTGCTTCATCTTTAAAGAAGAATAGTTGATAATGCTTGTCTTGAAGGGTTGTTTTAAGGCTCAAAGAGGTTTGTGAATATAAAGTTCTTAGTAGTGTCCTGAGCATTGCAAGCAACCAATAAATAGTTACTCTTCTTATGAAGATAAAATTTCATATCAAACACTTTAAAATGAAGAGCCCAATACTCCAAAATGCAAAGACAGAATAAGCTTTAATCTGTTTTCTAGGCAAAGTATGGCTCTTAAATAGAGGATAGTAAAAATAACCCTCCTAAAGTAAAGCCATCATGGACTTGTGACTGTTGTCCATGGAGAGGAGTTGCTTACCGCAAGAATCATTACTAACATTTACAATGTCAAGTCTTCCATTTTTATTATTGTGGTTTCTTATAGTGATAACAGTGTCCAGAAGGGCTGTTGATATCCCATTTCCTACATACCACCTGAAGATTGGCAGTTTCAGTCAGATGGCTGTCACTGTGCTGGGTCCACCTGTTTCCTCTTAGTCTGACAGTTAAGCATTTAATGTGGAAAGGGCAGCAGGGCATAATCCCAAGATCATGCCTCACATTCCAGAGGGTCTGAACCAGAGACGATTCCATGACACCTTCTTAATATGCATAAAATAATGTGATATTGGAGATGCCAGGGCAGCAGACATGTGTCTTTAAATGTGTTCTTCCAAAAAATTGATGTATATAATACCCAGAAAAAAACCTCATATTTATTTGCACATATTTGAATAATAACCTGAAATACTTCCATATTTTAAAAGTGCTTCAGCATGCAATATTAACGTGATTGTATTTTCAGAGTGATGAAACGGACAAATGAAAGAAGGGGGTGGGTGTGGTGTAACTCTGGAGAGAAGGACAAGATCAAAGAAAAGCAGTAGAGAGCCTTTGCCATCCATTTGTATGGCTTTGCCAGCTTCAGCAGGATTTAACACTTTGTTCTACTTGCTACAGCTTTTAGAAAATTTTGGTGTAAAATCTCAACAAAAAGGCTGAAGAGGGGATACAAAAAAGGAAAGTCTAGTGAGTAAAAGGATTTACTTCAATAACTCCCCAAATCCTATCACAAATGAAATGATCATTTCAAATACTATAAGTTAGAAAATGAATCAGCTGTGTACTAACAATTACAGAATGAGACAATGATTCATATGAAAGGCAACATAATTACCGTGGATATCAGATTAGGTTTCAAAATGAGGGAAGAACATTTTAGTGCTTTCTTGGCTAAGAGTAAACATAATTGATTTATGATTAATATGAGGGGTCCAGCTTATCTAGCAAATACATTGTATTTCATGTGGAAATGAGCTTGAAGGCATTTTTTTTTTGCACTTCTATGTAAGACCTAATATTCACATGCCAGGGAAGTGAGAAGGAATAGTGGCTAGAGCCACTGATGGACGGAAGCTGAGCATCAGGCATGCTAGAGCACAGCCCATCTGCCACACCACAGCAGCAAGATCCATGCTGTGCCCCAGCTTGAAACAATGATAGGCAATGGCTTATTTACTTATGTATCTATTGATTTAAAGTAAAAATTTGATTCATTAGAAAGAATTCTATCTTTCCACAGGCGATGCTGAGAAAATTTCCGAAGTCCTACTTCATAGGGGAACAATACCTTCCATTCTAGTCCACAGCACACCCCAAACACCCTTCTGAAGTTGTGGCTGCACTGTGAGCTTCCCATCAATACTGTATTTTAAGGTTTGGGGGAAATCATGTTAGGATTTCTCTGAACATAAGAAAAATTATATCCTGTTAGGTTCCTTGGGTCTTTGTACTGAAGTGACTATAGTCTCTTTGTTAAGCAGAATTTATTTATCTCTTAGTTAAGCAGAATTTATTTACTGCTCTGTTTGTTTGAGGCAGGGTGGGGTAATGTTAAGATCAGAAACCCAGTCAGACTTCCTGGGTTTGAATCCACTTTTGGCAGAGTGTAAGCTGTATGCTTTGGGAGAGTTATTTAATCTATTTCTCAGTTTCCTTATATTTAAAATGTATGGTACCTGCTTCCTTGGTCTGCTATGA